CGTTCCCCACCCACGTGTGACCCCGCAAATTTAAATTCAGCTTCCCCGTACCCGCGGGTAATACGTGCGGCTCCGTGAAAGTTTTTTACGGGTAAGTTAATATCTCGGGAACCACGAAGTCTGGGATGCTGAAATTTTAGGGTAATGACCCCCTGCCCACGCTCAACCTTGCCTGTTCAAATTCAGCGTCCCCGCGCTCTTGAGTATCACCTAAGGCCTCGTGAAAATTTTGGAGAGTAAACTATTAACTCGGGAATCACTGAAAGATATTCACCCTTCAGGGTTTTCGAATTCAGCTTTCATGCACTGATGCGTGAAATTTTTAATTGCTTTCCAATGTTTGAACCATTTTTGCATACACTAAAGTACAGAGCAGTGAAAATCATTAATAGGCAATCGTTCAATGGGCAGAATTGCACAAAACGCATGATCGCACCGGCTAGTCTGGTGCGCGTTGCTATTTATTTTTTCTGCAGCGGAAATTTGAACGACTTTTAATGCTGACTCCCAGCTGAGAAATTATATGAAGAAAATTTTTGCAGGATGTGCCGGATATTCCAATCGTAACCATGCCTCCGGAGGTGGACGCTACAGGATCGTGGTTCTACGAGCCATGGGTTTTGAAATTCGACGCCCTGGATGCTCTTGGTCTCAGTAATAGATCGGTGATCGACAGTCTCGGGCTTTTTTCCTGGTACACTCCAGCATCATGGTATCGGATTGCGTTGGAATTTGTTCATAACTATTTCGATCTTCCATGGGTCACCTCAATCATCTGTAGTAAGTAGTTTTCGTTTCCGATTGAAATTCGAAAAGTTTTGCTTCCTTTTTTTTCGTGAATTTTAGTTTTTTTTTGGGAGTGGATGGAGACGAATTTTTTGCCAATTGTTATCGTGAGGCAAATCGTTTTTGCATATTCTTCTCTTATCTTTTTATAATTTATGTCTTACTGATAGCTACCGCGCTATTTCTAACCACTACAAATTATGGAAGAGTGTTTTCCAAGATTATCAGGACTATCTCTTTCCAATAACATCACTGTACAAGATGGCGAAGTGTTACTGGGATGAAATTATATAATGTAAATTAAGTGTAACTTTCTTATACCAAGGTTGGTTTGTGCAGTATATCGTATAACTTATGATATTATAATAATATTTTGGTTATTATTGATTTAGATTCTGATCTTAGGCCAGTTTTTTAAAAAATACTTCTACTTTTCAGAGATGCTTTTCCAGAAAATTGTAATATTAATAATTAGTAGTGATATTAGTTTCACTGACTAAGACTTTTAAAATGCAATTTTTTCAACGCACAAGGAATAGCATGAGTCGGAAAAAATACGTTACAGCAATGCAGTAAATATTATAAACTAATATTTGAGCATATAAGTATAAAACTCAAATATTTTAACATTTGATATCAGAGAGGTTTTGATATATTCGAAATATTACCTTTTTTATTCATGGAGAATTTCTAGGAGTACTACCGGCACTATTATATTCAAGGTGGGTGGTCGTGGCATTTTCTTTATCTCTTATGAGTATTTTCCTTATTTTCGATTTTGATTTCAGCCACATTTTGCTTGAGATTCGCTTTTCTAAAAGCTACGCTATTCCTGCAACGATTTCCACCAAAAAGGATGTTGCACGAGGGAACGTTAAAAATGTTTGAGGAAGCTAAAAAAGACGCGAAAGAGGTGCAGCGCAGCGATACATTATGTTGGTTTTTTTATGCGTTTTGTGCTGTGTAACAGCAGTACAAAACGCATATTGTTACGGGGTTGTC